CGATGATAATGACGACGATGATAATGATGACGATCCAGCCGTTACAACCATCACTTATCATTTGTACTCGCGATGTGATGTAGTTCCGTTCGCTCCATCGCGTTACGTTGCTTATACCCAATTCGCAATCCGCGCTATAAGAAAAAGCGTTCCCTCTCATACGTCCATCACCGCGTTACGTATATCCAATTCGCGTCATGAAAACTACCACGCATCGTTATAGGAGAACCACACTGTGCCTGGTTTACCATTTGTGCACAAGGCCATACCGATTGTAGTTCGTCTGCATACGATTTGCACGACTCACACGTACGCGTGCCATTTATTTTATCAGCTAATTGCATCATCATTTCGATTTAAAGCTTTCGTGACTGCAATGATTCATCTTCTTTGGTTCTTTCGGTAAAGTCACGTAGAATGATAATAAAATAATAAATTGATAAAATAAAATAACACAATAATATTCTCACGACGTTTCGGCCACAACACAAGCGGCCTTCATCAGGTGAAGGGGGCGAGACTGTCTGGTAGGACAGCGCTGTCCTGTCCTACCAGACAGTCTCGCCCCTTCACCTGATGAAGGCCGCTTGTGTTGTGGCCGAAACGTCGTGAGAATATTATTGTGTTATTTTATTTGATCAATTTAGGTTTATGTGGAGGACAGCGCTGTCCTACCAGACAGTCTCGCCCCCTTCACCTGATGAAGGCCGCTTGTGTTGTGGCCGAAACGTCGTGAGAATATTATTGTGTTATTTTATTTTATCAATTTATTATTTTATTATCATTCTACGTGACTTTACCGAAAGAACCAAAGAAGATGCATCATCATTGTTATACACATTCAATTATTATACATGGGTGCGTTTATTAAAATCGTAAATTATTGGGGAGATATTTTGTGAACTTGTGTCTTTTTGCGTGTATGTTGAACTTTTTTGGCATCGTACGTATCCCACCGTGTCTAAATCGGAGGTGCCGTGGAAGGACAACAAACTATGGGGGTCTGTGTGTTGTGTGGTGAATGACGACTCGGAGGCAGGTTTTTCAGGTAAGGGCTTGCACCGGTTTATTAACACAGGGGGAGCAGTAAACTGCACCAGAGGTAGGTGCCCCTACACTGGGTCCTTCACGGGGACCTCGGGCTCTCTCTGCTGCCAGCCCGGCTATCTCTGGCTCTCTCACTCGAGTCGGGACGGGGGCTTAACCAACACCGCCCGACCGAGGAGAACAGCGCTCCACATAAACCTGGGCTGGCTCTTGCAGACTTCGCTCAGCCATACCCCTGGCTATCTCTTGAACCGCTCTCCATCCCGGGCTGCCACAACGACCCTGCTTTCGTCACCCGAACCTCCTTAAGTACCCCGAGGTGACATGATGTCATCGCGCCTCACCGCGCTCATAACATCACGTCTCCAGACTACTCCTCTACATGTGTATGAGTCTATGGGTCTCTGCTGTGTGAGTCTATGGATCTCTGGTGTGTAAGTCTATGGGTTTCTGCTATGTGAGTCTATGGATCTCTGGTGTGTGAGTCTATGGGTTTCTGCTATGTGAGTCTATGGATCTCTGGTGTGTGAGTCTATGGGTTTCTGCTATGTGAGTCTATGGATTTCTGGTGTGTGAGTCTATGTATGGGTATCTGCTATGTGAGTCTATGGATCTCTGGTGTGTGAGTCTATGGGTATCTGCTGTGTGAGTCTATGGATCTGTGGTATGTGAGTCTATGGGTATCTGCTGTTTGAATCTATGGATCTCTGGTGTGTGAGTCTATGGGTTTCTGCTATGTGAGTCTATGGATCTCTGGTGTGTGAGTCTATGGGTTTCTGCTATGTGAGTCTATGGATCTCTGGTGTGTGAGTCTATGGGTTTCTGCTATGTGAGTCTATGGATCTCTGGTGTGTGAGTCTATGGGTTTCTGCTATGTGAGTCTATGGATTTCTGGTGTGTGAGTCTATGTATGGGTATCTGCTATGTGAGTCTATGGATCTCTGGTGTGTGAGTCTATGGGTATCTGCTGTGTGAGTCTATGGATCTGTGGTATGTGAGTCTATGGGTATCTGCTGTTTGAATCTATGGGTCTCTGGTATGTGAGTCTATGGGTATCTGCTGTGTGAGTCTATGGGTCTCTGTGTGAGTCTATGGATCTCTGGTATGTGAGTCTATGGATATCTGCTGTGTGAGTCTATGGGTATCTGCTGTGTGAGTCTATGGATCTCTGGTATGTGAGTCTATGGGTATCTGCTGTTTGAGTCTATGGATCTCTGGTGTGTGAGTCTATGGGTATCTGCTGTGTGAGTCTATGGATCTGTGGTATGTGAGTCTATGGGTATCTGCTGTTTGAATCTATGGATCTCTGGTATGTGAGCCTATGGGTCTCTGCTGTGTGAGTCTACAGGTCTCTGTCTGAATTTATGTACAGTATTTATGCTGGACTTCTTTCGCACCGTACGTAGGCAACCGTGCTTAGCGAGAGGTGCCATGACATAACCCCTGGCATTATTTTACCCCTTGCGTATATATTTGTAGTGACACCGGGGATGTCACTGCATGGTGCCGGCCTGAGAGGGCCGTGGCGTGCGATGCACCGTCATCGCGTTACACCCCGTGGGCGGGTGTGGTACCAGCCCTAGCGGGCCTCGGTGAGCGCTGGGTTAGCGCGGGAGCCACGCTTAGCGTGCGGTGCGAGCTCCCACCAGGGGGAGGTGGGAGAGTGTCAGCCCAGGGGCAGGGTTTGCCCCGGGCCATGGCACTCTGGTTGACCCCCGTAGACACGTGACCCGGAGTGTCCATAGAGAGGCCTCCAGGTGGGGGGTGGGGAGGGGGCTAGGGGGTGATCACGTGTCCGGGGAGAGCTCTCGAGAGGGAGCTAGAACCTTCGAGAAGGTGGGTGGGGCCTGGGGTGGAGCCAGCCCCGACCCGGGGGGGGGGGGGGGGTGATATAAGGTGGGTCCCTGAGAGCGATCGGGGTCGCTGCACTCTGCAAGCTGAAGCTCCACGTCTACAAGCTAGAAGTTCTACGTCCTACGAGGCATCAACACGTGGTCAGGGACCCGAGTGAGGGTCTGTCCCTTCGGAGCTGTAACCCCCACGTACAGAGTAGTTAGCTGGGTGGTCACCAGCCTAGACTGTGGCATCTGGTGAAGGGGCCGTTACCCCTTTGTGTTAGCGGGTTGATTTTACGATAAAAGTGTTGCCTCTAAAGAACGTCTGCGACTCAGTTGGACTCACTACATATTTATGTTTTAAACAAACCATAAGATAATTAAATAGGGGTTAATTCGTATTCTTAGCTCTATCGGTAAAGTCACGTTGAAGGGAAACAATAAAATAAAAATAATAAAAATATTTATTGTTTTATATAATAAAAAAATAAAAAATCAATATAAAAATATATGTATTGTTTTATATATTTTATTTTTTTATTGTTTCCCTTCAACGTGACTTTACCGAAAGAGCTAAGAATATGAATTACTGCAGTCACGAAAGCTTTAAATAAAAATTTAGGGGTTAATTCTGTTAACCCCCCCCATTCACGTGGTCCCCCTTACCCACCCCACTTAACCCCCCCTTACACCCCCCCCCCCCACTTAACTCCCCCTCTTAACCCCCCTCTTAACCCCCCTCTTAACCCCCCTTAACCCCCCTCTTAACCCCCTCTTAACCCCCCCTTAAGCCCCCCTCTTAACCCCCCCCCTTAAGCCCCCCTCTTAACCCCCAGGCCACGTGGTCCCCCTTACCCCCCCTCTCAACCCCCTCCCCTCTCAACCTCACCCCTCAACCCCCCCCTCAACCCCCCCTTTATCCCCCCCTTTTAACCCCCCTTAACCCCCCCTCTTAACCCCCCCTCTTAACCCCCAGGCCACGTGGTCCCCCTTAATCCCCCTCTCAACCCCACCCCTCAACCCCCCCCCTCAACCCCCCCTCTTAACCCCCCCCTTAACCCCCCCCCCTTAATCCCCCTGTTAACCCCCTTAACCCTCCCCCCTCTTAACCCACCCTTAACCCCCCTCTTAACACCCAGGCCACGTGGTCCCCATTACACACCCCCCTCTTAACCCCCCCCCGGCCACGTGGTTCCCATTAACCCCATCCCCCGCCCTCTTAACCCCCCATTCACGTGGTCCCCTTTACCCCCCCCCCACCACTTAACCCCCAGGCCACGTGGTCCCCCATTGCCACCGCCCCCGATCACGTGGTCCCCTTACCCCCCCACGTGGTCCCCCTTACCCAAACCCCCACCACTTAACCCCCCCGGCCACGTGGTCCCCCATTGCCACCGCCCCCGATCACGTGGTCCCCTTTAACCCCTCCCCCCGGTCACGTGGTCCCCCCTTACACCCCCCCCCCCCCCCACGTGGTCCCCCTTTCACCACCCCCCCCTCCACCACTTAACCCCCCCCGGCCACGTGGTCCCCCATTGCCACCGCCCCCGATCACGTGGTCCCCTTTAACCCCTCCCCCCGGTCACGTGGTCCCCCCCTTACACCCCCCCCACGTGGTCCCCCTTACACCCCCCCCCCTCCACCACTTAACCCCCCCGGCCACGTGGTCCCCCATTGCCACCGCCCCCGATCACGTGATCCCTTTTAACCCCTCCCCCCGGTCACGTGGTCCCCCCCCCCTTACACCGCCATCCTCCGGTGGTCACGTGGTCCCTGTGTCACCTTGGCGGCGATGGCGGCGCAGAGCGGAGCGGCGTTTGCGGGCAGGCCGCGCACGGCGCCCAAAGGCGTCAAGTTCCTCTTCGGGGGGCTCGCAGGGTGAGCGACGCTACGCGGGGGAGCAGCGGGGGGGTGGAGCAGGGAGCAGGGGGGGGAGCAGGGAGCAGGGAGCAGGGGGGGGAGCAGCGAGCGAGGTAGCGGTGCCCGTGATGCTTCTCGTCTCGGGGGTAGTCTTTTGACAGGAGCCCGGGCCGAGAATCGATTCCTCGATTAGTGACTTCAACAGCAGTGGGGGGGGAGAGGAGAGAGGAATCGTGTCGCGTGAATCGGCGCGTTGCGATTCCTCCGCCGAGCGGTTGGCGCGGCGGTCCCGCGTTCCCTGCGCCCTCTGATGCCCGAGTTCGAGTCCCGCTCACGGCCGATCGGAGAGACAAAGGCGGCCGGGCGGGCGTGGTGCTGGGCCGGTCACCCCACCCCGGCCTCTGTGTGTGCCCACTGTGTCGGCAGACTTCATGGACGCTCTCTGCCAACAGCACTTGCCCCTACAGTCTATTGGAGGCTACACGGTGGGAGGGGGTGGTGGTGGCTTTGTGTGTGGACGTTCAGATTGGTGTGGGTGCATCAGTCGGTGGTCATCTAAGTCGGTCGACCCCTGCTGGATTCTGTCCCGAGACCTCCTGCACCTAGCCTGGCACAGTAGGGGGGGGTGTGGTGCATCTACCGATCATCTCAGTCGGTCAACCCCTGGCACCTGCTGGGTCTGTCCCGAGACCTCCTGCACCTAGCCTGGCACAGTAGGGGGAGTGTGGTGCATCTACCGGTTGTCATCTCAGTCGGTCAACCCCTGCTGGATTCTATCCCGAGACCTCCTGCACCTAGCCTGGCACAGTAGGGGGGGTGTGGGTGCATCTGCCGGTGGTCATCTCAGTCGGTCAACCCCTTCTGGATTCTGTCCCGAGACCTCCTGCACCTAGCCTGGCACAGTAGGGGGGTGTGGGTGTATCTACCGGTGGTCATCTCAGTCGGTCAACCCCTGCTGGGTCTGTCCCGAGACCTCCTGCACCTAGCCTGGCACAGTAGGGGGGGTGTGGGTGCATCTGCCGGTGGTCATCTCAGTCGCTCAACCCCTGCTGGATTCTGTCCCGAGACCTCCTGCACCTAGCCTGGCACAGTAGGGGGGGTGTAGTGCATCTACCGATCATCTCAGTCGGTCAACCCATGGCACCTGCTGGGTCTGTCCCGAGACCTCCTGCACCTAGCCTGGCACAGTAGGGGGGGTGTGGGTGCATCTACCGGTGGTAATCTCAGTCCTTCAACCCCTGCTGGATTCTATCCCGAGACCTCCTGCACCTAGCCTGGCACAGTAGGGAGGGGTGTGGTGCATCTACCGATCATCTCAGTCAGCCAACCCATGGCACCTGCTGGGGTCTGTCCCGAGAGACCTCCCTGTCAGCGAGCGAGCCATCGACGCTTCACGTGATAGCTTCAAAGTGCACCTAGCCTGGCACAGGCGCCGCGGTGTTGTCACCGTCACTTATGGCCGCGTATTGGTGTTGGTGCCGGCCACCCACCCTCTCTGTGTGCGCCCGCAGTGTCGGACTCCATGGGTGCTCGGCTAACAGCACTTGCCCCGACGGTCTGTTGGAGGCTACACGGGGGACCTTTGTCTTTGTATGCGTCTAGACGTGGTGCTTGCCACCAACCCACCCCTAACCTCTGTGTGTTCCCACAGTGGCGGTAGCCTTCATGGCACTGCTGCTGCTGCTCGCTCCTAACTAACAGCACTTGCCCCCGGACAGTCTGTTGGAGGCTCTGCGGTGGGGACCTTTGTCTTTGCCTTTGTCCCGTCGGTTCGGGAACTGTACCCCGGGGAGGGGCAGTGGGCTGTTGGGTAAACAGCGGAATCGATTCAGCGGCTCCTCGTGATGGTTCCGCGATGAGAAGAATCGATTCTGTCCCTGGGGAGACCTCGAACACAGAATGTACATTCAAAATGTGTCTACATTGTGTGTGTACATAATGGGTGCACATAATGCGCACACACATTGAACGTACAAAATGTATATGCACAATGCAAATGCATAATGTGTATGCACAATGTATGTGCATAATGTAGACACAAAATATTCACAGTCTACATATATAATGGGTATACAAGATGTGTATACATAATCTTCATGTAAGATGCATATTATTAATGTACATAATGTATATGCAGAATGTTATGTTGATGTAGATGCCACTGGTTCTTCACGTTCTGCAGATGTAGATGCCACTGGTTCTTCACGTTCTGTAGATGTAGATGCCACTGGTTCTTCACGTTCTGTAGATATAGATGCCACGGATTCATCACGTTCTGTAGATGTAGATGCCACTGGTTCTTCATGTTCTGCAGATGTAGATGCCACTGGTTCTTCACGTTCTGTAGGTGTAGATGTCACTGGTTCTTCACGTTCTGCAGATGCCGATGCCACTGGTTCTTCACGTTCTGCAGATGTAGATGCCACTGGTTCTTCACGTTCTGCAGATGCCGATGCCACTGGTTCTTCACGTTCTGCAGACGTAGATGCCACTGGTTCTTCACGTTCTGCAGATGTAGATGCCACTGGTTCTTCACGTTCTGCAGATGCCGATGCCACTGGTTCTTCACGTTCTGCAGACGTAGATGCCACTGGTTCTTCACGTTCTGCAGATGTAGATGCCACTGGTTCTTCACGTTCCGTAGATGCCACTGGTTCTTCACGTTCTGTAGATGCCACTGGTTTTTCACATTCTGCAGATATAGATGCCACTGGTTCTTCACGTTCTGCAGATGTAGATGCCACTGGTTCTTCACGTTCCGTAGATGCCACTGGTTCTTCACGTTCTGCAGATGTAGATGCCACTGGTTCTTCACGTTCTGCAGATGTAGATGCCACTGGTTCTTCACGTTCCGTAGATGCCACTGGTTCTTCACGTTCTGTAGATGCCACTGGTTCTTCACGTTCTGTCGATGCCACTGGTTCTTCACGTTCTGCAGATGTAGATGCCACTGGTTCTTCACGTTCGGTAGATGCCGCTGGTTATTCACGTTCTGCAAATGTCGATGCCACTGGTTCTTCACATTCTGCAGATGTAGATGCCACTGATTCTTCACGTTCTGTAGATGTAGATGCCACTGGTTCTTCACATTCTGCAGATGTAGATGCCACTGGTTCTTCACGTTCCGTGGATGCCACTGGTTCTTCACGTTCTGTAGATGCCACTGGTTCTTCACGTTCTGCAAATGTAGATGCCACTGGTTCTTCACGTTCTGTAGATGCCACTGGTTCTTCACGTCCTCCAGATGTAGATGCCACTGGTTCTTCACGTTCCGTAGATCCCACTGGTTCTTCACGTTCTGCAGATGTAGATGCCACTGGTTCTTCACGTTCTGCAGACGTCGATGCTAATTCCCTTTGGTGCTAGTGTTTCCTCTCTGATCTCTTGAAAAACTTACCAAGAGAGTTGATCTCTTCTCCTTATCGTGAATCAACCTGTAACGGGCAAAGAGCGTCGTAGACAGCGAGCAACGGGACACACGGGGACGGGGGACGGGTTTGTTCGCGTCTCCGAACGTCCGTAGGTCGAATGTTCGTAAGTGGACGAGTCTCCCGTACACGGCCACACACGGCCACCGCAACCAGCGTTGGCTACGTCACGACTCAGCAGTGTCTCCTTGCCCCGGGGGATATTGGAATGTGAACGCGCGACCTCTGCGTGGCATTGCCAACTGCAGGGGCTTTGGCGCTGGCTGTTACTTATCTCCCACGCCTGGCGTGCAGGAGGTGTCGCGGGTTCCATCCCGACCGTAACAGCGCCCGTTCTATATTTGGAGTTTGCGTGTTCTCTCTCTCTCTGTCTGTCGCTCCCCGCGGTCACTGCATGGATTTTTCTCCGTTTTTTTTCCCTCCTCGTTTCGAATAGACGTCACCACGCGTTCAGAGTTATTTGTCTGCTGCTATGAAGTTGCACGCGATGACGATAATGACAAGCCACTTTCGTTGGGCAGCTATCGTTTGCGATGGCCAGGGTCGCTTCTGCAAAAAGAGCTCCTACACAGCAGCTCAGTGGGGCCTTACCCACGACAAAAATAAACAATAGTTTAGGATATAAACAATAGTTTAGGATATAAAATAGAGTTCGTCATTCTGAAAATAACAAATAGCTACCTTGATAAGCACGGTTGGCTACGTACGGTGCGAAAGAAGTTCAACACATACATAGACTCACACAGAGACCCATGGACTCACACAGAAACCCATGGACCCACACAGAAACCCATAGACTCACACATAGACCCATAGATTCACACAGAGACCCATAGACTCACACAGAGACCCATAGACTCGCACATAGACCCGTAGACTCACACGGATACCCATAGACTAACACATAGACCCATAGACTCACACAGAGACCCATAGACTCACACATAGACCGATAGACTCACACATAGACCCATAGACTCACAGAGACCCATGGGCTCACAGGGAGGCCCATAGGCTCTCACACAGACCCATATACTCATCACAGACGGACCCATAGACTCGCACATAGACCCATAGACTCACACATAGATCCGTAGACTCACACGGAGACCCATAGACTAACACGGAGACCCATAGACTCACACAGAGACCCATAGACTCACACAGAGACCCATAGACTCACGCATAGACCCATAGACTCACACGAAGACCCATAGACTCACACATAGACCCATAGACTCACACATAGACCCATAGACTCACACAGAGACCCATCGACTCACACAGAGACCCATAGACTCGCACAGAGACCCATAGACTCACACATAGACCCATAGACTCACACAGAGACCCATAGACTCACACACAGACCCATAGACTCGCACAGAGACCCATAGACTCGCACAGAGACCTATAGACTCACACAGAGACCCATAGACTCACACAGAGACCCATAGACTCACAGATACCCATGGGCTCACAGGGAGACCCATAGTCTCACACACAGACCCATAGACTCACACATAGACTCACACAGAGACCCATAGACTCACACATAGACCCGTAGACTCACACTGAGACCCATAGACTCACACGGAGACCCATAGACTCACACATAGACCCATAGACGCACACGAAGACTCATAGACATACAGAGACCCATAGACTCACACATAGACCCATAGACTCACACAGAGACCATAGACTCACACATAGACTCACACATCGACCCATAGACTCACACAGAGTCCCATAGACTCACACAGAGACCCATAGTCTCACACATAGACTCACACATAGACTCACACAGAGACCCATATACTCACACATAGACTCACACAGAGACCCATAGTCTCGCACAGAGACCCATAGACTCACACGAAGACCCACAGACTCACACAGAGACCCACAGACCCCAAGAGTCTGCTACAGGGGAGACCTTTGTGTGCTAGTGTGGGGAGTGGTGGCACAGCGGTTAGCGCACTGCACCACGAACCCGGCGACCCGAGTTGGATTCCCCACTCCCTTCCACCAACACCAACAGTGACGATTACCTGAACCGGTCCTGGACCCCATCCCCTAGGTCGACTCAGCCTCAAATGAGTACCCAGCGTGGCCGTGTGCAAGTAAACATCGCCACTAGGGGAGACAAAGGCGGCCAGGCGTGCTGCTGGCCACACCCCCCTTCTCCCCCCCCCCCTCCCCACCGTAGTTGCTGCTGCTCGCTGCTAACAGCGGTGTGTTAAGGCTGCAACGGGTGGCGATCTTTGTCTTTGTGTTTGTGCAGCATGGCGGCTACGGTGTTCGTGCAGCCCCTGGACCTGGTCAAGAACCGCATGCAGCTGAGCGGGGAGGGCGGCGGTGCCCGGGAGCACCGCAACAGCGTGCAGGCGGTGGCCTCCATCCTGCGCAAGGAGGGCGTGCGGGGCATCTACACCGGGTGAGTGAGCTGGGTGGGTGAGTGGGCGGGTGAGTGGGCGGGCGAGTGTGTGGTCGAGTGTGTGGGCGAGTGTGTGGGTGAGTGTGTGGGTGAGTGTGTGCGTGCAGGGCATCTACACCGGGTGAGTGTGAGTGGCATCTACACTGTGTGGGTGAGTGTGTGCGTGCGGGGCATCTACACCGGGTGAGTGTGAGTGGCATCTACACTGAGTGAGTGAGTGTGTGGGTGAGTGTGTGGGTGAGTGTGTGCGTGCGGGGCATCTACACCGGGTGAGTGAGCTGGGCGAGTGTGTGCGCGAGTGTGTGGGCGAGTGTGTGGGCGAGTGTGTGGGCGAGTGAGCGAGCGAGTGTGTGGGTAAGTGTGTGTGAGTGGCATCTACACTGAGTGAGTGAGTGGAATTTACACTGGGTGAGTGAGTGTGAGTGGCATCTACACTGGGTGAGTGAGTGAGTGTGAATGGCATCTACACTGGGTGAGTGAGTGAGTGTGAGTGGCATCTACACTGAGTACTCACTGAGTGAGTACTCAGTGTAGATGCCACTCACACTCACTCAGTGTAGATGCCACTCACACTCACTCAGTGTAGATGCCACTCACACTCACTCAGTGTAGATGCCACTCACACTCACTCAGTGTAGATGCCACTCACACTCACTCAGTGTAGATGCCACTCACACTCACTCAGTGTAGATGCCACTCACACTCACTCAGTGTAGATGCCACTCTCACTCAGTGTAGATGCCTCACACACTCACTCAGTGTAGATGCCACTCACACTCACTCAGTGTAGATGCCACTCACACTCACTCAGTGTAGATGCCACTCACACTCACTCAGTGTAGATGCCACTCACACTCACTCAGTGTAGATGCCACTCACACTCACTCAGTGTAGATGCCACTCACACTCACTCAGTGTAGATGCCACTCTCACTCAGTGTAGATGCCTCTCACACACTCACTCAGTGTAGATGCCACTCACACTCACTCAGTGTAGATGCCACTCACACTCACTCAGTGTAGATGCCACTCACACTCACTCAGTGTAGATGCCACTCACACTCAGTGTAGATGCCACTCTCACTCAGTGTAGATGCCTCTCACACTCACTCAGTGTAGATGCCACTCACACTCACTCAGTGTAGATGCCACTCACACTCACTCAGTGTAGATGCCACTCACACTCACTCAGTGTAGATGCCACTCACACTCACTCAGTGTAGATGCCACTCACACTCACTCAGTGTAGATGCCACTCACACTCACTCAGTGTAGATGCCACTCACACTCACTCAGTGTAGATGCCACTCACACTCACTCAGTGTAGATGCCACTCACACTCACTCAGTGTAGATGCCACTCACACTCCCTCACTCAGTGTAGATGCCACTCACACTCCCTCACTCAGTGTAGATGCCACTCACACTCCCTCACTCAGTGTAGATGCCACTCACACTCACTCAGTGTAGATGCCACTCACACACTCAGTGTAGATGCCACTCACACTCACTCAGTGTAGATGCCACTCACACTCACTCAGTGTAGATGCCACTCACACTCACTCAGTGTAGATGCCACTCACACTCCCTCACTCAGTGTAGATGCCACTCACACTCCCTCACTCAGTGTAGATGCCACTCACACTCCCTCACTCAGTGTAGATGCCACTCACACTCACTCAGTGTAGATGCCACTCACACACTCAGTGTAGATGCCACTCACACTCACTCAGTGTAGATGCCACTCACACTCACTCAGTGTAGATGCCACTCATACTCACTCAGTGTAGATGTGCTCATCCTCCCTCTCCCCATTCGCCCCCTCCCTTTCCCCCCCACCCCCCCCTCTCCGAGTTATTTAACTGACCTAACTCTGGCTTCTCTCTCACCTCAGTAAAAAAAAAAATTGCTGTGGTGGTCACACCTGATGATGATTGCTTGTGTTGCAATCGAAACGTCGTGATTTAACTTACTTAAATTTTTCTTACTTTTTCCACCTACGTGACAAACGGCATGGATCCTTGCAGTCGCGAAAACCTCAAATCTAGAACGCCACCTAACTGGTACATCTGTGAACAAGAGCTCCGTCGTTCATCGGATTTATCTCGCTGCATGAATGCAATATTCCGATTGTGTGTGTGTGTGTGTGTTGGGGGGGGGGGGGAGGCCTTGCTCGGTTAAAATTACAAAAAAAAAATTATAAAAAAAAATTATAATAATAATTTAAACAGCGTCAACCCGTGTCTGCTCCGTGTCTCTCTCACCTCGTGCCCACGCCCGCCCCCACGCCCCCCCCCCCCCCCCGCCCGCGCCAGGCTGTCCGCGGGGCTCCTGCGCCAGGCTACGTACACGACGACGCGTCTGGGCATCTACACGGTGCTGCTTGAGCGCCTGACGGGTGACGATGGGGCGCCCCCAAACTTCTTCGCCAAGGCGGCCATTGGCATGGTGGCCGGGGCCACGGGCGCCTTCGTGGGCACCCCCGCGGAGGTGGCGCTCATCCGCATGACGGCCGACGGCAGGTGAGAGGGGGCGCGCCTCCCTGAATCGCGCAGAGACCCATAGACTCACACAGAGACCCATAGACTCACACAGAGACCCATAGACTCACACAGAGACCCATAGACTCACACAGAGACCCATAGACTCACACAGAGACCCATAAACTCACACAGCAGAGACCCATAGACTCACACAGAGACCCATAGACTCACACAGAGACCCATAGACTCACACAGAGACCCATAGACTCACACAGCAGAGACCCATAGACTCACACAGAGACCCATAGACTCACACAGCAGAGACCCATAGACTCACACAGAGACACATAGACTCACACAGAGACCCATAGACTCACACAGAGACCCGTAGACTCACACAGAGACCCATAGACTCACACAGAGACCCATAGACTCACACAGAGACCCATAGACTCACACAGAGACCCATAGACTCACACAGAGACCCATAAACTCACACAGCAGAGACCCATAGACTCACACAGAGACCCATAGACTCACACAGAGACCCATAGACTCACACAGAGACCCATAGACTCACACAGCAGAGACCCATAGACTCACACAGAGACACATAGACTCACACAGAGACCCATAGACTCACACAGAGACCCGTAGACTCACACAGAGACCCATAGACTCACACAGAGACCCATAGACTCACACAGAGACCCATAGACTCACACAGAGACCCATAGACTCACACAGAGACCCATAAACTCACACAGCAGAGACCCATAGACTCACACAGAGACCCATAGACTCACACAGAGACCCATAGACTCACACAGAGACCCATAGACTCACACAGCAGAGACCCATAGACTCACACAGAGACCCATAGACTCACACAGCAGAGACCCATAGACTCACACAGAGACCCATAGACTCACACAGCAGAGACCCATAGACTCACACAGAGACCCATAGACTCACACAGAGACACATAGACTCACACAGAGACCCATAGACTCACACAGCAGAGACCCATAGACTCACACAGAGACCCATAGACTCACACAGCAGAGACCCATAGACTCACACAGAGACCCATAGACTCACACAGCAGAGACCCATAGACTCACACAGAGACCCATAGACTCACACAGAGACACATAGACTCACACAGAGACCCATAGACTCACACAGAGACACATAGACTCACACAGAGACCCGTAGACTCACACAGAGACCCATAGACTCACACAGAGACCCATAGACTCACACAGCAGAGACCCATAGACTCACACAGAGACCCATAGACTCACACAGAGACCCGTAGACTCACACAGAGACCCATAGACTCACACATACACACATAGACTCACACAGCAGAGACCCATAGACTCACACAGCAGAGACCCATAGACTCACACAGCAGAGACCCATAGACTCACACAGCAGAGACCCATAGACTCACACAGAGACCCATAGACTCACACAGAGACCCGTAGACTCACACAGAGACCCATAGACTCACACAGAGACCCATAGACTCACACAGCAGAGACCCATAGACTCACACAGAGACACATAGACTCACACAGAGACCCGTAGACTCACACAGAGACCCATAGACTCACACAGAGACCCATAGACTCACACAGCAGAGACCCATAGACTCACACAGAGACCCGTAGACTCACACAGAGACCCATAGACTCACACATACACACATAGACTCACACATACACACATAGACTCACACATACACACAGACTCACACAGAGACCCGTAGACTAACACAGAGACCCATAGACTCACACAGAGACCCGTGGACTCACACAGCAGAGACCCGCGGACTTAGACAGAGAGAGAGTGAGAGAGCCGTAGACTCACACAGCAGAGACCCATAGACTCACACATACACACATAGACTCACACAGAGACCCGTAGACTCACACATACACACATAGACTCACACAGAGACCCGCGGACTTAGACAGAGAGAGAGAGAGACCCGTAGACTCACACATACACACATAGACTCACACAGAGACCCATAGACTCACACAGAGACCCATAGACTAACACAGAGACCCATAGACTCACACATACAGACCCATAGACTCACACAGAGACCCATAGACTTACACATACACACATAGACTCACACAGCAGAGACCCATAGACTCACACAGCAGAGACCCATAGACTCACACAGAGACCCATAGACTCACACAGCAGAGACCCATAGACTCACACAGAGACCCATAGACTCACACAGCAGAGACCCATAGACTCACACAGAGACCCATAGACTCACACAGAGACCCATAGACTCACACATACACACATAGACTCACACATACACACATAGACTCACACAGAGACCCGTAGACTCACACATACACACATAGACTCACACAGAGACCCGTAGACTCACACAGAGACACATAGACTCACACAGAGACCCGCGGACTTCGACAGAGAGAGAGAGACCCGTGGACTCGCACAGCAGAGACCCATAGACTAACACATACACACATAGACTCACACAGAGACCCATAGACTCACACAGAGACCCATAGACTCACACAGAGACCCATAGACTCACACAGAGACCCATAGACTCACACAGAGACCCATAGACTCACACAGAGACCCATAGACTCACACAGAGACCCATAGACTCACACAGAGACCCATAGACTCACACAGAGACCCATAGACTCACACAGCAGAGACCTCTAGACTCACACAGAGACCCATAGACTCACACAGAGACCCATAGACTCACACAGAGACCCGTGGACTTAGACAGAGAGAGAGAGAGCCGTGGACTCGCACAGCAGAGACCCGTGGACTTAGACAGAGAGAGAGAGGGCCGTGGACTCACACAGCAGAGACCCATAGACTCACACAGAGACCCATAGACTCACACAGCAGAGACCCATAGACTCACACAGAGACCCATAGACTCGCACAGAGACCCATAGACTCACACAGAGACCCATAGACTCACACAGCAGAGACCCATAGACTCACACAGAGACCCATAGACTCACACAGAGACCCATAGACTCACACATACACACATAGACTCACACATACACACATAGACTCACACAGAGACCCGTAGACTCACACATACACACATAGACTCACACAGAGACCCGTAGACTCACACAGAGACACATAGACTCACACAGAGACCCGCGGACTTCGACAGAGAGAGAGAGACCCGTGGACTCGCACAGCAGAGACCCATAGACTAACACATACACACATAGACTCACACAGAGACCCATAGACTCACACAGAGACCCATAGACTCACACAGAGACCCATAGACTCACACAGAGACCCATAGACTCACACAGAGACCCATAGACTCACACAGAGACCCATAGACTCACACAGAGACCCATAGACTCACACAGAGACCCATAGACTCACACAGAGACCCATAGACTCACACAGCAGAGACCTCTAGACTCACACAGAGACCCATAGACTCACACAGAGACCCATAGACTCACACAGAGACCCGTGGACTTAGACAGAGAGAGAGAGAGCCGTGGACTCGCACAGCAGAGACCCGTGGACTTAGACAGAGAGAGAGAGAGCCGTGGACTCACACAGCAGAGACCCATAGACTCACACAGAGACCCATAGACTAACACAGAGACCCATAGACTCACACAGAGACCCATAGACTCACACAGAGACCCGTAGACTCACACATACACACATAGACTCACACAGAGACCCATAGACTCACACAGAGACCCATAGACTAACACAGAGACCCATAGACTAACACATACACACATAGACTCACACAGAGACCCATAGACTCACACATACACACATAGACTCACACAGAGACCCGTAGACTCACACAGAGACCCATAGACTCACACAGAGACCCGTAGACTCACACAGAGACCCATAGACTAACACATACACACATAGACTCGCACATACACACATAGACTCACACAGAGACCCATAGACTCACACAGAGACCCATAGACTAACACATACACCCGTAGACTCGCACAGCAGAGACCCGCGGACTTCGACAGAGAGAGAGAGAGCCGTGGACTCGCACATACACCCATAGACTCACACAGAGACCCGTAGACTCACACAGCAGAGACCCGCGGACTTCGACAGAGAGAGAGAGACCCGTAGACTCACACAGCAGAGACCCATAGACTCACACAGAGACCCATAGACTCACACAGAGACCCGTAGACTCACACAGCAGAGACCCATAGACTCACACAGAGACCCATAGACTCACACAGAGACCCATAGACTCACACAGAGACCCATAGACTCACACAGAGACCCATAGACTCACACAGAGACCCATAGACTCACACAGAGACCCATAGACTCACACAGAGACCCATAGACTAACACATACACCCGTAGACTCACACAGAGACCCATAGACTCACACAGAGACCCATAGACTCACACAGAGACCCATAGACTCACACAGAGACCCGTAGACTCACACAGAGACCCGTAGCCTCACACAGAGACCCGTAGACTCACACAGCACTGACCCGTAGACTCGCACAGCAGAGACCCGTAGACTCACACAGCAGAGACCTGTAGACTCATAATAAAGTATTAAAGCTTTCGTGACTGCATAAAATTACTCATTGGTTTTTTCGGTAAAGTCACGTATGTAGAAATACAATAAAATTATATTAAAACAAAAAAACAATCACGACGTTTCGATCAGAGACCCATAGACTTACGTAGAGACCCGGAGACTCACACAGAGACCCATAGACTCACGTAGAGACCCGGAGACTCACACAGAGACCCATAGACTCACGCAGAGACCCATAGACTCAAGCAGAGACCCAAAGACTCGTGCAGAGATTCATAGACTCGCTCAGAGACCCATAGACTCGCTCAGCGACCCATGGACTCACACAGAGACCCGTAGACTCACACAGAGACCCGTAGACTCACACAGAGACCAATATACTGACAACGATACCCATAGACTCACACAGCAGAGGCCCATAGAC